CTTTCGGTCATCCTGTTCTCCATCAGCGAGTACAGATTGCTAGACGATAGATCACTGCGAGCTTAAGCTGCAGACTGAGGTATTAGGAGCAGGCGGGATGTCTGTACACTCTTATATATAGCTCAGTGGATGTCAAGTCTATGCATTTGTCGACATTGGGACTATACATACTTTCACCCTCATATTTCGAGGTGCAATCGATGCAATGTGAATGCTGCATTGACCCTGAGATGCCCAAACACACATATTTATTCTGATGCCAGTTCAAAACCGGTAGGATATTTGGAGGATTTCAAGATCGAAAATGAAATAAATAGAGACAGTCTTTTGCTGTATCCTCCTACTCAAATTTCTACCTTTCTTTTACAAATAAAATGCCTGTATAGGAATTGCATTTTGTATGATTTATAGAGGAAGTATTTGCACGTTCGATTCGAAAATCGCTCCCTTTCCTTCTTGTTTGCTCCCAAATCACTCTTTTCCCTCAGCTAAAATTTCATTGGTTCAACCTATCGGGCCGCCACCTGTTATGGGAGGAAGTTGACACGTATTTGTTCATCCATCCCGCTAATGAGTAGAACAATGCTACTATTGATAGCTATTGCTCACTTTGCGCATACCCACCTGAGTTTTAAGCATACGGCTGAAGACTAGTCTAACAATAACTTGCGTTTTAATGGGCCTACATAAAATAATTTTCTACGAAGAGGACGACTCGATCGGCGGGTCAATACATTTATTCGTCTGATTTTCCGAGATCCGTCGCGGATTCGGCATCAGAGACATAATCAAATAGCAGTAGCATATACAGGTAGCGTCCGCACAGGAGTTTGCAGTATTTATTGGATGCAGTCAGCACTGCACACATACAACGACAATTAACGCTAATTGCCTTCCTGCGTGTCGATAGCTTGTTATACAGCATGCGGGCTCTGACCTACCGAAATTTCATCACGGGTGGTGTGCTCGGGCGTGATGAGTGCTCGGCCAGCTGGACGTCCGGTGGCCGGAGGATGACACGGTGGCCCATCCGTCCCTCAAGTGGCGACTTGCTTTGACCAAATTGAGTCGCAGCACCGAATAGGGATTGGGCGAATCGTTGCACTTATTTATAGATTGGGGGCCTGTGAACCATGACTCAAGTAATTCTCGGCTCACTCGATTGTAACCTAGTACGAGAATTTCGGCCTCATCAAATATGAATTTGCTGACCGGGTCTCGTCGCATGAGCTGCAACTTGAGAATTGGCATTATCTCGCCGCACTGCTGCCGCGTGATCGGCAATTCGCGTCTTAAGAAGTCTGCCAGTTTCTCCCACTTAGTTGCTTTGCCCGCGACTGCACCAGATCCTGTAGGCGACTCCGGATGTTTCTTGCCGTGGCAGTGGGTCTTTTGGTTTCATTACCTGACGCCCTATGGTTGCCTCCGGCCTATCTACGACTCTAAATCCAACTCATGCGAATAAAAATACTGTCCCAGCGATCGAGTCGTCTTCTTCTCAATCACTTCCTGGGACTCGCATGTCCGCTTGTATTGGCAATTATTCTTGACATGTTTCCTATGGTTTTCAGTGAAATCCTCTTAACTCTTAGTTAGTTACGCAGAAGCGCTTATGCTTATGAAGTAAGACTCCATTACAGTTTTAGGATAGTAGTTTTCATGCCAGAATTCCGTAGAACTAGTAGTGAGAACGTATCAAAGGTTTATCAACAATATTCCTGCAGAAAGTCCTAGTAACCTTACTTGTTAACTGGCACCGTGTAATTATCAATTTCTGCTTATGTTGCGATAGAGCATACAATTTACTAAAGAACATAAAGAAATGTACTTACATTCAATGATGTTGCGCTCAATTATGCCGGCCTCTGCTCCATAGCTCTCTGTCAGATATCGCAGAACGTATTTTGTCGTCTCCGTTTTCCCGGCACCGGATTCTCCACTGACCACGATGGCCTGGGATGCCTTCTGTATACGCATGTCGCGGTAGGCCTTGTCCGCTAGAAAATAACAGCGTTCATTAATTGCGTCACGCCATCAGGCTTTTGACAGCAAAGCTCTATTACTTAACTACACATAGCAGGTCAAAAGCCCACGTTGCATTCTTCGCCGACTTCTAAATTGTAGGTAAAGGTTAATGAAGTATTTTTTAAGAAACGTCACGCGAAACAAACAATCTACAGTGCGATTTTTAAATATTAACTAGGCTCCTCACTTTCTATGCTCAACGACGAAAGAAAAACGTAATGTGCTGCGTTTTCGCTCCTGGGCCCCTTTTTACGTTCAAAATCAAGTCTAATGGGGTAAGGGCATAAGGAGTTCGGTATAAATTATTGGTGTCCACAAGGAATTGACTTGAGGTCAGGCAAGTTTTCGTCCATCCGACCAGAAGGCCGTACCAATATAACACATTTCAAAAGGCCGGAAGTTATTAGGGCTAAGTTCTTGCGCCTAAGCAGGCGTAACGGTTTTTTCAAACTTCCCTCTTGTTAAAAATCAATTATAACGTTCATGGTAAATATGTTCAGTCAGTTTATTTTGTAAGGTAACAATGAAATTAATTTAAAAGGCACGCGGGCAAGCTAACTAAAGTCCGTCATTTATGCTGGTACTAAAATGTATTTAGGCCGGTAAAATTTTACCGTTATAAGTTCTAAGTTTTTCTTGTAGCGCACTTTTTGTTCAAAGATCATTTAGTTACCAATTTCACCCTCACCCATAATAAACTTTGCAAGCCCGCCTAAAAAGTACTTTAAAACAGAAAATATAATTTAATTATACATCATCGTACAGACCTGTTTGCTGGAAATTTGACTACTGACTAATGACTAATGCCGCATTCCTCTGACTCTGTTCCGAAGTGAGTCGGGCGCAAGCTTTGTTTAAAAGTAATACACATACCGATTGCAAACGCGTGTGGCGGTAAAACGCCAAGCGACTTTCCGCGGTACTGCTGCACCGTCTCCTTTGAGTACAGTCCTGGTATCTCGTGATATGGATTGACGGCAATAAGAATATTGGCCACGTATGTCTATAAAAAATTTCAAACCACGCTCGTTAAAAAAAAGAACAGACAGTAACCCATGCGAGGACTTCCGTTGTGTAAGTGGG